AGAGGTTTTTATAGTGGTTTGGATGCTTAAAGCAAATCCTACATCCACTGTTATTTTATTGATCTCTAACTATTTCTATGATATTGCTTATAAGGCATACAAAGATGAAGAAATACAGTGTTTACAGAGAGAAAGAATTGAGCTTAAATCTATGCTTTAGCTCTCATATGCCCAGCCTTCCTTTTCGGGAAGAGAAGTGCCAATTTATACACCTTTGAACTCAATGTAATGAGTGTTTTGTAAGTTGTCTTGACACATAAAATGCTTTCGTCCATTCATCTCTTGAAATGAAATAGGGTTGGTATGAATATCTTTGAGTAGATATGGTCTTGGTAACTAGTAGAAAAAGATATTTATTGGACTGATATAAGCGTGACTTTTGAGGCATAACAGAGTATATCTTGTATACAAATTCATCGTTTTACTTTATACCACATTAGCCATGAACAGTGGCGGATCCAGCCACTTTTTGGGTCGGCCTCAAAATTTTTTTTAATATTAATATGTAAATTTATATATTTTGGCCCACCCTAAAAAAAATATTAATGGACAAAAATAGTAATGTATAATAAATTTTTATTTTGAACCACCCTAAAAGAAATTTCTGGATCCGCTACTGGCCATGAATGTGGATTGCATAGTTATATATATATATATATATATATATATATATATATATATATATATATGCGCCAAACTCAACCACGTATTTGGTCCGACCAAAGTATTCATTTTCATTCCTTACTTTATAGTAAGCGTCATAATATGAGGATTGCTTTCTTACGCATACTAAACTGACTACTTGTTATACACATAAAATCTGCTCTGGTAGGAATGATTGTTTGTCATAATCATTTCAATTTATTATTTTTTTTTTTTTCTTACTTTTTTCCTATATGGTGTTGATGATCGAAGGAATCCATTAACTGACTTTAAGTTGTATGCGAATTATTATTATAAAGAACCATCCCTATAGATTTAAGTAACTCTTAATTTTTTGATTGAATAAAGAAAATAAATCCTATTGTTAAGGTTCTATATGTTTACGAACACAAGTTTGTTATTGAATTCTTGTTTTCTTGATGAAGAAATCCTTTCAAGTTTCAACAGGTCATATAATGATTGTTGTGTGTTTGGAATGTTGGGTGATAACTGATAGAAAAGCTATCTTTGTTCCCAAAGCTGTTGACACATTTTAATCTTGTTGCTGCATTCTCAATCTGTATTTTTCTCTGCTATTTGTCTCCTTGTTTTCCTCCCCACTTTTCTCTTTACAAACCCACACAAGTCCGTGTCTAATTAGTAAAACCTTTTGTCATGTGAACTCATTCATCATTTTATAATAATGTATCCAATTTTCATACATCCATGATTAAGCACTTCACAACATTAAATATTACACTAATATATATGCATTACACTTCTTCACTTTTTACTCGATATTGCATATCATAATGCATATTCTTATTTAAATGATATTGTAGATGTCGTCGACCGGTGATAATGCTTGTGCTTGTCAGACTTAAAGTGACATTCATTCAACAATTCCGACACCTACAAATGTGGTTGCAATTTCTAATACTTGCACGGCACCAATGCCACGTCCAACCCAAAAACGTGTGCCTTGTATTAGTCAGAGGAAGAACACTTAGGAAATGTGGGATCATTTCACCAAGATTGATTATGAGACTAAAGATGATGCCATTGCATCATGTAATTATTGTGAGACTGTTTTAGCTTGTCCCAGTAAGAGTGGTACCAGTTGTCTACATAATCATTTAAGTGGGTATAAAAAATATCTTTTGAATGTGATGGACAAGAGACAAAAGACATTAGTGTTTCAACAAGCACAACAGTCATGTGATCAGTGAAGTAACTCTCCACAATCTTCACTCTTGACATGGAAATTCTACTAGGATGTGATTAGAGAGGTCGTAGCTAAAATGGTCATCATTGATGAGTTATCTTTTAGGGTTGTTGAGCGTGAGGGGTTTCGATATTTGATGAGTGTGGCATAGCTAAGGTTTCAAATACCCAGTGGAACTATAGTTGCTACAGGTAGTATTAAAATTTATAATGAAGAGTACCAAAAGATGAAGAAGTTCTCTGCTAAGTTTGTCTCACCACTAATACATAGATATGTTGTCAAAACCTCAATTATATGTGTTTCACATCTCATTTCATCGATGATAACTGGCAACTACAGAAAATGATTATAAACTTCTGTCTAATTAGTAGTCCTAGAGGTTTAGTGATTGGCAAGGCAGTGGAGAAGTGTTTGCTTGAGTGGGGTATTTCTAAGGTTTTTATAGTCACTGTTGTTAATGCAAGCTCCAATGATGTTGGAATAAGCTATCTAAAGACTTGGTTGGCAAGTTGAAAGCGGAGTGTCTAGGATGGTGACTTCCTCCACATGAGATGTTGTACTCATATATTGAGTTTAGTTGTAAAAGAGGGGTTAAAAGATATGGATGACTCCATATTCAAAATTCGTTCGATAGTGAGGTACGTGAGGTCTTCTCTAGCAAGGTTATAAAGATTTAAGGGGTATGTGACGAAAGAAAAAATTGAAGTAAAACTCAACTAGTTCTTGATGTTGAAACAAGTTAGGTGAAACTCCATATACTTGATGTTGGATGAGGCATTAAAATTCTAGAAAGTTTTTGAGTTGTTCGAAATAGAAGATAGTAAGTATACATATGAGCTTACTAGTGGGAAAAAGTCTAGGGGTTTGCTTACATGCACTGATTAAGAGTATGCACGGTACTTCTTACCTTTTTTTAAAGTCTTTTATGATGCTATTTTATGTATCCCTGGCTCGTTTTATGTCACTAGTAATGCTTACATGCAAGACATTTTCGGCATTGGGTTGAAGATTTCAATATAGTGTACAAGTTATGATCTCGAGTTACATAGTATGGCTTTATGGATAAAAAGGAAATATGATAAAAATTGGTTAAATATTAATAATATCAACCTCATGTTATTCATTGCAGAGGCACTAGATCCGAGGCACAAGTTATAATATATGGATTGGATAATTAATTAGTCTTTTGATGTTGTTCTTGCTGATATGTTGAAGATAAAAGTAAAGGGAGTTTTGGTGTCTTTATTTGAGCAATATATAGTTTGTTTAAGGTGGTCTTTAGTGCGCAACCAAGTGAGCAATTTCGAGTTGCAATTCAGATTTATGTTCATGATGCAGGTCTTGACAATGAGGAGTTTATGAAGATTATGTATCAGGAGAAAAAGGCTAGAAAAAAGTTGTTCATTGCAAAACAGAGTTGGATAAATATTGAACGAACGATTATGAAGATGACAACAACAAGAGCCTTGATATCTTGCAATGGTGGAAGTTAAATCCGACAAGATATAGAGTTCTGTCTATGACACAATATGTATTGGCTATGCCTGTCTCTACAATTGCATTTGAGTCAGCTTTCAGTACGGGGGTCGTGTATTGGATCCACTTCGTAGCTCCCTCACTCCTAAGATGGTGGAAGCTCTTATTTATACACAGGATTGGATTCGGGCTTCGCTTGTATCATTCATCATAGAGGAGAGCTTATATGAATTAACAAAAATTGAGTCTAGTAAAATTTTTCCTTTACTTACAATGTTTTGGTTATGTATTTGTTGACTTTGTTGAATATATTTTGGAAATATAATTTTTCTAACGTGCTTGTCCAATTTTTTGTAGAATTTTCGTGTTTCAGATTGGAAAACACTCGTCCTGATCTGGATGATTGAACGATAATCCAATATATGAGGTATATTACTTTCAATTTATGTAAGTTAATAAGTCCAATATATGAGGTTTGTTTTTGTTGATTTAAAGCTGATTTAAAACTGAAGTTTTGTTCTGTTAGTTATTGTCTCTACTTGCAGCATAATTACCTCTATGATGGTTTGTTCCTTTGCTTTAATTATGTTCTGATCTAATTAATTATCGTTCCTTTACTTTTAAATATGGTTGTGGACATAATTAACTCATGAATGTGCTTTTTTTAAACTGATGCGAGTACTCATAATTAACTGATATAACTTCTTTTGTTCATAACATAATTTTTTGTTTTTTATTGTCTTGCGAGGCTTGGCTCGGCAGTTGGCATGCCTGCATCATTTGGTCATTATTCAAGCGATAAACAAGCATAGAAAGATTTGGATACTGAACGTTATTGTTGTTGTTAACATATATTTCTTTTATTGTTGTTGTTAACATATATTACTGATTGTGGTTGACTGCTTGTGTTGTGTCAATGTGCCTACACCGATTTCTTCCATTTGATTTTAACCTCTTTAGTCTTTCCCTTATATTTTGTGGAATAGCATTGACAATGGCAGATTTGGGAGTGTCATTTTTGAGGAATTGCATTGCAATGTCAGATTTAGTTGTCATTTTCAAGAATAAGAATTGGCGGTGGCAGGCAGCAGACTTAGTTTTGTCATTGTGAGGAACTGCTTGATTTAGTGTCATTTTTAATTTTTGATCTTGCACATTTGTATGGTTTAGGCTTCCTTTCATTATTTTTAATTATTATACTACATGGTTCAGATTTTTGATCATGTATTGCCGCAAATTTTGTATTACAAAACCAAATTTGAAAAAGAAAACAATAGCAAATCAGGACTTCAACTCAATTAAGGAGTGTTTTAAATAAAACCGGTTCAAAACCCGTGAACAAGATTGCAAACCGAAAATCTGGATCAGCTATAAACCGGTTTAAGCAATATTTCGGACTGGTTTCGATTTGCAATATTGCTTAAGCCGGAAACCGATTCGGTTTGAAAATGCCCTCATCCGGTTCGGTTAACCGGTTGTTTGCAGCCCTAGTGCCTCTTCAACGTTTAAGGAACAAAATTTAAAGACACCAACTTCTTGAAACAATACAAAACATGATTGAGACTTCTCATGCTATTGGAAGATAAGGGACATATTTAATAATTCGAATAGACCAAAATGGTTGATTGTTTGAAGTGCTTTTCACTCATTACAACCAAAAACGAAACAATGAATAATACCAATCCAAAACAAATATACCAACAATTTTACTTACAGACGATCTTGAAAAATAATGGTGGAACAGTTTTCAAGATGCAAGCACAATTCATCATTTTCCCATTCTAATCCATCCCACCAACTCTTCTCTGCCTTTATCATCACATCTTTGAGTTTGGAATCAATACCAATCTTCTTCAAGTTTGGGCAACGGTAGAAGCTGATATACTCAAATAGCGGCCAAGGACCTCTGCATATGTTAACCAATGCAGGTAGATAGTGAAGTGTTAACTTCTTCAAACTGGGAAGTACAACAGAATCAGAATGTGTTGGCTCCTCCTCGACTATGATTTGTTCAATGCCTCGACAATCTTCGATAACCAATTCCTCTAATTTACAAAGATATTGAATCATTGAGCTTCTAAAGACGTACTCCAACTTCGGACATCCATGCAGTGACAAAATTCTTAACTGAGCAAAGCTTCCTTCTGGTAGAATCCCCTCCCAAATAGATGTTAAATTCCACAAGCGATGGATACTTAAGGTCTCCAGGAGTGGAAATGCAGCATTAGTATCTTCCTCCACTTCATCCACACGCACAACCGTTTTAATCCTGGGGCATTCACATATTAGGCAAAACTTCAACCCATTGACATTACTTAACCCAAAGTTTGAAAGGCTCTCGATGTCAAGATGATTATCCAAATAGAAAGCAGTACTGCGAGCTAATATTTGTAGAACTTCATCAGGTTTCTTCTCACCATTCACAAATCTCAAACATTGGCGCTGTTGATTATAATCGAAATCCAAAAAATCTGGGATATGAGAGGAAATGTCTTTGACCTCACGACCAACCACGAATTTGAACTCCATTAAGAGTTTATTTTTCCATGGGTCACTTGCTGTGAGGAATTCTTGGACATGCTCAATTTCTGGGAAATGAAAGCAAAGAGAACTCAACTTTTTCAACTTGCAGACCTCAGTTTTGATGTATTTCACATCCTCATGCCACCGTGCATCTCCTGGATACAAAACAATACATAGAGTCTCCAAATTGAACAACTTCGATATAATGCCACACGAAATCAATTGGCGTGGCAATTTAACATACTCGCCATCATCGATAGACCCATAAAATGGCACTTCCAAACGTCTTAAGAATTCCAATTCACCGTGTTCATCAGGTAATTTGTCAATTTCAGTGCCTTGGAGATCAAGCACCTCGAGACGAACAAGGAATCCAACTTCAGAGGGAAGCATAAACAGACATTTACAATCCTGTAGGATGAGGATTAGGAGCTTTTCTAGCTTAACAAGTGTCTCAGGCAAGGACTGTATTCTAGTCCCAGATAGATTCAACACTTCAAGAGAAGTCATGTAGTTAAAAAAGGATGGCGGTATCACTCTCAAAAAACAGTTTCTTTGTAGGAACAATGTCAAAAGCTCAGGACAATTTGGTTCCTCAGGAAGAGTGCATAACTCATTATCACTCAAAAGCACCATTTTAGCATGTTTCCACTCTTCCTCCGACGGTGGTTCTGCTAGACCTGCGCCAGTTCTCAACAAAAATTGATTACCTTCAGGTACACATAAGGATGTGGATGGCGAACTACTTCCAGAATTAAATAGTTCCATTGATCTTGAATAAGCACTCAACAAAAATTGATCACCTACTCTCAACGGAAACTTGCTATCTTTTTGCACTGAAGATAAGATCCCCAATGCTAAATCTCTGATTAAATCATGCATTTTAATGGATTTTCCACCTTCTGTAACTTGTAACAGAGAAGCACTAACTAGAACATCAACTATATAGCGACCCCTTTTTTTTGCATCAGCTTGAGCAACACCAGTAACTAAACCTTCTTTGATACAATATTCTATGAAGTTAAAAATATTAACATCTTGATCTTCTGGAAACAAAGCACAATGAAGGAAACAACTCTTTACATCATGCTCCTTGAGTTGGTCAAAGCTGAATTTCAATCGTTGGATGACATCTTCAGTTTGACATCCATTAGAAGTTCTAGATAATGAGAATTTAATTGATGCATCCCTCCACTTGGAAACATCATTCTCCTCTGCTAGGGCCCTTCCAGTAACAATAATCAGCAGGGGCAAACCACCACAGCCCTTAACTATAGTTTCAGCAAAGGACTGGATATCCGAGGATCGAATGATTCTACCCACGTGTTCATAAAACAGTTCTCTAGCTTCCTTCTCAGAGACAGTTTTTATTTCAACCACCTTAAACTCATTCTTGTCATGACCAGAATCAAGTTTTCTGAATGCCATTATTATCTTGCAGCGATTTTCGGAATTGGAATCAGGAATACCCACGGCCCCTAAATCTATCTGTTCCCAAAGATCATCCAGAATTAACAAAAACTTCCTCACTTTTAGAACCCCTAATAATCTTTCTGCAACTTGAGAATCAGTTTCAGAATATTCACGAGACAATGATAACTGTCTTAAAACTTGGTTTTGAATCTTTGTTGTGCTCCAATATCTTGATACAGTAACCAAAATAGTTGCATCAAACATACGTTTTGTGTTGGGGTGATTGATCAAGGCTTTCAGCACTGTAGTCTTTCCAACACCAGCAGTTCCAAGAACAACAATTTTTGTAGTTCCATTATTCATGTGGCTGAAAATCTTCCGCACAGTTGTCTTAACTGATTTCTTGGCACATAAACCTGATTTTTGTAACAATCGATCTTCAGTGGGGATTTTATATCTTTTTGTAGAAAAAGCTGTCCACAATCCTGATATCTTGGTCCAGAATCCTGATTTCTTGGCAGAAAAATCCTTTTCAAATGGCACCACACCTTCTGCCACCATAGGAATCTGAATTTCATGTTCATTAATGACAGGCAGGGCCTCTGCAGTTTGTACTCTCTCACTCTGAATCTCCAAGTGGCCTGACGTAGCAGAACTTGTCTTATCTTTACTTCCGGGAGTTGAAGTCGTCCCTGCAGCTTCCGGTGCTTCAAGAGAAACAAACTGAATTTCAGATTCATGGGCCGGTAATGTATCTATTTGTGGAGGAAAGGGCCCCATATCTTCTTCCAATAATCCTTTGAACTTTGTTGGTGAAGGTGCTTTCAATTCTCGCAGGGCAACTTCCCAATCAGATAAACGACTCTTGTTCCTTAATGCTTTTGCTGTAGTACAAATGGCATGAGGCAAACCACCACATTTCTTGCATACATCTTGTGGCAAAGAATTCAATCCATGGGTTGGAATTACACCACCTACACAAGAAGCTAGGATTATACTAATTGCATTCTAGCTACTATCTTATCGGACTATTTTATAAATAAAACCATCAACTTTTCTGTTTTTTAAATATCTAAGTAACATTACTCATTGTTATTTTTCTTGTCACTCCTCATCTCTAAAATCATAGAAATACAGTTTTTATTGAAAAGAGAAATAAGCTGATGAGAAATGAGGAAATGTAACATAAGCTGCCAAGTCAATTCTAATTACTGTAATTTAGGCTGAAAATAACGGCAGTTACAACAAGCACTATAATTATGCAAAATTACGTAACAAAAATTAAAACGGAAAAAAAACAGAAAAAAAAAGGGTAAGTATATTTCAGTCTTAATAAGTTAGGTCCGGTTGAGTCGGAAAGTAATGTTTGGGTCTATAACTGCCGTTTAACGAATTTTTTGTATTGCTCAAGAATAATGATAAGAAGTCTAAAATGCCCCCATTTTGTCTTATATAAAATTAACTTAAAAAATTAAGAAAATAACAATAAGCCCCTGAAATTTCGGTTAATAGCTCAACCCCAGAAAATAACAATTATTCCCTGTTGACAGACAGCCGTTATAAAATTTCTGTTAAACTAGAGGAGTGAAGGGTAGAGCAGTATTTACACAATCTATTAGTTAAGATAAAAAATTATTCCAAACCCATTCACTATTCTTACCGCCACACCCCCAACCCATTCCCATGAATCCCATATCTCTCCCTCAAGCAAGAGGCAGCAAATCTTTTTTTTTTTTTTTTTGGCCGCCTCACCTTCAACCCCCAACAGCGACGCCTTGGGTGGTTTTTTTATGTATCGATTTGGGCTAGGGAGCTTGTTTTAAACCTGGATGGTGGTGTTGTGGTCTGCTGAAGTTGATTTGATTGGCGATCTGGTTTTGTTGTGGCTGATGTGGTGGTGGTGGTTCTTTAAGGGATGGTGGGCTGTGGTGTGGGTGCAATGGAAAATGTGCTGCACTTTGCGTGTTGTGGTGGTGCGCTGGAGGCCAATGGGGTGCGGCAATGGTTGTCATCTGGTTTGCTGAGGTTGTTGTGGTGGTGTTCTAAAGGGTGCGCTGTGGTGTCGGTGCAATAGCGATGGCTGCGGTGGGGATAAAATGGAGGGTGGGCGGTGGTGTGGGTACATAGCGAGGGCTGTGGTGGGGATACAATGGAAGAGATGGCAACCTTTTCCTTTTTCTTTCACTTTTTTTCCTCAGATTTCTTAAAATAAATATATATATATATGGTTTTGGGATGATTGGAAATTTGCTGATTATAATTATAAGGCTGCGGCTGTTAATGGTGGCGGTGTGGGTTTAAGAAGTGGCAGCAGTGTGTATTGAAGGTTGTGATTTTTTAAGAGATGGTAGTGAAGAGGCAGTAGTGATGTTTTGACCTTTGGGTATGGAAGGTTGTTTTGAAAATATTTCATGTTATCAAATTAAAATGAAAAACCTTTTTGCTAGAAGAGAGAAGACTATCTTATGAATTTTACCTGCCATTTTCTTGAATAGGCTCCAAGCTTCTTCTTCATTTAAAATGTCCATCCCAAAATTATTTGTGCAACCTATCTTCTCCAACACATTGACATTTCTGGCTGTCATCAATATTTTACTTCTCCCACGATCAGCTCCGTAAGGAATTCCTACGGTCTTCAAATCCAAAATATTATCCACTATTAAAAGGATATTCTTCTCCTTCATTCTTGAATATAACTTATTTGCTCTTTCACTTTCACCTTCCCTCTCATTTTCAAATTTAAGACCTAACTTGTTTGCAATTGCTCTTTGAATTTCTTTTGTATCCAAAGTTTCTGTCACCTACAAGACAAAACAAAAATATAAAACCTTATATAGAAGCCTAAAGTCTAATTAATATCATCAAATAAAATTAATTATATAAATTATAATTATCACACTAAATAAAAAATTAAAATAACACTCCTAATATAACAAAATGAAACCTCTTTAATTAGTTCAAACATTACCTCTACAAAAACAATCCCCTCGAATAGCTTATCCTTCTCGGCCTGCCTCCCAACTTCCTGCACAAGAGTGGTCTTCCCAAGACCACCCACCCCATAAACACCGATCATGTAGATATTCTCATCTTTTAATGCATCCCATACATCTTTCACAGTGGAGTTTCTTGATTCGAAAGCCAAATAATCTTCATTAGATCTAAGCCATATCTCCTTGTGAATAGTAGGATGGGAAACTTTCTTGAAATTTTTTTCTTGCTGCAGGAGTGGACCAATATGATCCACCATTAATTCGGATGCTGCCTTGCTATTTTGGTAGCGCGTCTTCCTGTCAGTGCCAATTGAACTTTGGTTTTCAATCAACTCCTGTGCTTTAACAATGATAGAGTCAACATCCTCTAGCCACTTCTTCACATCCTCTTCAATCTCTTCCACATTGTTTCTAGCCTCCTCAACCTTACGCTGCACTTTAAGTCTTGCATTCTTCAGCTTCAAAACATCATCTCGGAGCTTGTCAAAGTTCGTCTCGTAGTTGGATAGTAGAGTAGTTGAATAGGAAACGTTATCGAATCTTTCTTCTTGCTGCAGGAGTGGACCAATATCAGCCACCATTAAATCGGATGCTGCCTTGCTATTTTGGTAGCGGGACTTGTGGTCAGTGCCAATTGAACTTTGGTTCTCAATCAGCTCCTCTGCTTTAGCGACGATAGAATCAACATCCTCTACCCACTTCTTCACATCCTCTTCAATCTCTTCCCCCTTGATTTTAGCTTCCTCAACCTTACGCTCCACTTTGAGTCTTGCATTCTTCAGCTTCAAAACATCATCTCGGAGCTTGTCAAAATTCGTCTCGTAGTTGGATAGTACAGTAGTTGAATAGGAAACTTCATCGAATCTTTCTTCTTGCTGCAGGAGTGGACCAATATGATCCACCATTAATTCGGATGCTGCCTTGCTATTTTGGTAGCGGGTCTTGCGGTCAGTACCAATTGAACTTTGGTTCTCAATCAGCTCCACTGCTTTAGCGATGATAGAATCAACATCCTCTACCCACTTCTTCACATCCTCTTCAATCTCTTCCCCCTTGATTTTAGCCTCCTCAACCTTACGCTCCACTTTGAGTCTTGCATGCATCAGCTTCAAAACATCATCTCGGATCTTGTCAAAGTTCGTCTCGTATTTGGATTGTTGAATACTTGAATAGGAAACTTCATCGAATCTTTCTTTTTGCTGCAGGAGTGGACCAATATCATCCCGCTTTAATTTGAATGCCTTCTTGTTATGTTTGTAGCTGTTGATGCAGTTGGGGCGCAATCCCTTGAAACGTCGACTGTTTTCTTCTTTCTCTTGAATCAACCTCTCTGCTTCATTAATGGAATTGTTCACCTTAGTCTGCCACTCCTTAACGCTCTGTTTGATCTCTTCCCCGTTTATTTCAGCAGCAGTAACCTTAACCTGCACGTCGTCTCTTGTATTCTTCAGCATCATAACTTCCGTTTCGAGATTTTTTAAATTAGTATTGTAGTTGTGCAAGTACTTAAATTGACCAATCGGAGCAGCCAGGCACTTGCCCACTTGGAGAACAGCACTCACCACACTCGCAATACTCTCAACGGCGGCAAGTTCAGCCATTTTCAAACTTCTTTTTTCCTTCTTCACTTCTTCTCAGGTTTGAAAAATACAGAAAATAAAACAAGTGCAAACTCAAATAACAGAACAAGAGCGAGGGAAAATGCTGAAATGTTTTTTTTTTTTAAAAGAAATAAGGAAAAGGGGAAAAATAGAAGAAAATAACACAGAGAAAGTAACAAGGCGACTGCAAACTGAAATAAAGTTAGGTGAAATAAAGAAGATCTTTTTGTTCTTTTTTCTAAACGAAAAATAAGAATATGGGAAAGGATTCTTTTTGGGTAAACAAGAAATAAGGGCACAGGAGAGGAGTGCAAAATCAAGCGATCTGGTTTCAGAGTAAAAGTATATTTAGTGGTATCTGGAGGGGTGAGAGAGGTTTCTGAGTGTGAGTGTTGTTGAGTGATTTCTGAAAGATTGAGAGAGAAGAAAACTGAAGAAGTAGAGAGAATACAGTGAACATCAACCCATTTTCCTTTAACCCATTTTCCTTTAAGGATAATGCTATACTTATCGACGGGTGTGCATCGAATTTGTGCACTGAATTACATGACATAATATTGAGCGTTGATTTATTATTAGTTAATATTAATCAATGATCAAGATTTTGCCACGTCATTTGATGTACAAATTCAATGTAAACTTTCGATAACCCTATCATTAAGTCCAAATGTTAAAGGAGGAAGAAAACAAAAGACCAAGAAATTAAATATTATCATAATTTCCTTGATTGACCACATATTAAATAATTTAGGGTTTACGGAGTAAACCAGAAATATGAGAATGCGAGAGCAGAAAAAAATCAGGGGATCTAGTTTGAGTCTGGAAATATGAGAATGCGAGAGCACCCAACCCTAGTTTCTCATTAATTAAAAAAAAAAAAAGTAATAT